TTTATTTGACAGAGAGAGACACAGCGAGAGAGAGAACACAAGCAGGGGGAGTGGGAGAGGGAGAAGCAGGCTTCCCACGGAGCAGGGAGCCCAATGCGTGGCTCGATCTCAGGACTCTGGGATCATGACCTGAGCCGAAGGCAGACGCTTAACAACTGAGCCACCCAGGCGCCCCAAGTCAGGATCATTTTAAACAAGTCATCTGCTGGCTTATGTATTCCAGAATATGTGCCATGTGCTATATTTATAATTGTATTAATCTTCATTTACTTTGTTAAAAACTACTATGTAGGTTTTTTCAGATTTCTTTTTATCCACTATTAGTACTTTTAAGCAGAAAGGAGTGCATGTATATTGAATTGAAGTAAAATTTCAAAATAAGGTGACATTTTGGTAATGTTAGGTTTAATTTTTGAAATTTCAGTGTTTTTGAAGAAACTGACACAGATTTACAAGAGCTTCAGGACTCTATGGAGCAGTTACTTAGGGAACAACCTGGAGAAGAATACAGTGAGGAGGAAGAATCAGTCTTAAAGAACAGTGACATAGAACAGACTGCAAATGGGACAGATCTGGCAGATGAGGATGACAATCCCAGCAGTGAAAGTGCCCTAAATGAAGAATGGCATTCAGGTACGTTGTCATGATCGTGGGACTTTTTTTTTTTTTCAATGTATACAAATATTTCAAGTTGAGTATATTTTTCTGATACCTGATATGAATGAACAGTTTCCAAATTTAAATAAAACTGAAGTATGCTTCTGTGTCTCTGACTTTTATTTATTCTTTTTCTTTTCACACAAATGCTCATATACATTTGTTCCATTTCCCATTAAATTTTGGAAATGCTTTTGAAGCATTTTTATTGCTTTCTTATCTTTCTTGACTTATTTTTCTAGTACTAAAGATAACAGCCTAGTTTTCTTTTTTTTTTTTAATAAAGATTTTATTTATTGACAGGGACACAGCGAGAGAGGGAACACAAGCAGGGGGAGTGGGAGAGGGAGAAGCAGGCTTCCCGCCGAGCAGGGAGCCCAATGTGGGGCTTGATCCCAGGACCCTGGGATCATGACCTGAGCCGAAGGCAGATGCTTAATGACTGAGCCACCCAGGCGCCCCCCAAGTTATTTTTTAAAGTAAGTTAATCCATACCAGGAAATTTTACTTGGTGTTTTCCTTGGGATTTTTTTCTCTTTTTTTGGTCCAAACTTCACTCAAGGTCATATAATAAGAAAATCTGCTAAAATGTGAATACAGGGCCAGATTTTAAAATATATCTTTCAAAAAGATGTTAATCTTATACTTTTCTTATAATGGCAGACTTGGCAGCCCCATTTACTTCAATACCATCTGTAGTAGTGGGCACTAATTCCTCTGGGTTGGCCATAGGAAGATTTTATCAACAGGTCATTATTTAATCATTGTTGTAATGGTACATAGCGGATGTGCATATTATGTTAGTCTTGTAATTAAATATAAAGTTAAATGCTACTAATAGGATGATCCAAAAAATTAGACATACTCTCTTTCTCATTCTAATTAGATGCTTTGCTTTTCTATACCTGCTACAAAGTCAGAGTGTAGAAGTTTGTACACATAAATAGAAAATATAGATATTTCTACTTTAAAAGAGTATTTTCTTTTCCATTAATGGAAATTTTATTTAAGATGTTGCATAATACCATTTCTATTTTAGCTTTTTAGTAAATACTTATTTGATTGGAATCTAAACTTGAAGGCTTTAATCAGCTTTTGTGTCCTGTTCAGCATCACTTTTCTGGTGGATGAAATCCTCAACATGGGTACAGAATCTCTTTCAGAAGACTTCACTTATCTAAAATATAAATTAACTCTTAATCTACAGACTTTTCCCTATGCACACCACTTTAGGAGAAAGAGGCAAATCATAAGAGAAAGTTGATGAATATGTTTTTGGGGTATTGTAGAAGTGATGAGAAGACCTAGATTTCAATCTTTATTAGCTATTTATTGATTGTGTAGCCTTGAGCAAATCATTTAAACACTTTGATTCAATGCCCATGTCTCTAAAATGAGTTATGAGTTATGTGTAGATAAAATTTTAGTAATAGGATAAAACTGCTTAATAAACTAAAGTACTATATAAATTGAGGGTATTATTTGCATAAATTAATTCCAGCATCTATAATCCCTTGAAAATAAAATTAATATCCTGAGCACTGCCTTGGAAACAAGATAATCCAGTGAAGATTATTATGGTTAGTATCTAATTATTCAGTAAAGTCCATTTGTTATGTATTTTAGAAATGTTTTCAAGCATAAGCATCTAAAGATAAGATTTCTGGTGTTTATTTTATTCATTAGATCATCCTATTAACCTGAATGTATAATTCCCTAAGTGTTTCCGTTTCTAAAAGTTCAAATGTCCAATGAGTGTTTATATGGGAAGCCTGTCATATAGTATACTATTACACATCCACACAAAGATTTTGCTAAATGTTCAAAATTACCTAGAAGAAAAATATTTGAATATTAAGTATTTTTTTTAGAAAGCAAGTAAAAAGTCTTTTTAGTCTGGCCTCTTAAAATACTGAAACATTTTTTCAAAGTTTAAGAAGTGAATAATATTGATAGTTATGTGATTCTGTTTTAGCAAGTCAGGATCATTTTATTTTTTTTAATATTTTATTTATTTATTTGACAGAGAGAGACACAGCGAGAGAGAGAACACAAGCAGGGGGAGTGGGAGAGGGAGAAGCAGGCTTC